GGCCAGGCCAGCCTTAAAATCCAAATCTGCCTTGTGACCCACTGGAGCACCAGTGGCAGTGTGACAGAGTTGAAAATAAACTGTTTCGAATACCGTTGGAGGTGAAAATGAGACCACAGGGAGGTCGGAACATCAGTCCAGCCTGAATAAAAATACATTTTAGTAGGCTAGGTTAAGTGAAATTTAGTGGCATCGTGATGGGAAATTTCAACTATCATTCCATCATCCTCTTATGGATAGAGAACTCTTATTCCCAAGTTAGTCACAGTCACCAAACCTACTCCCAATGAATGTGAAAAATGATTCTCCTGGAATGCTCAAACTAAAGGTTTTGGGCGACGAATCAAGTCATATGTTCAGATCAGAGGCGAGTCTCATTTCGGTTACCTCTTCTTATTGTCTTGATATTGTCTGCCTGATGAATTTAAATCACGAATTGTTATTCTCTTTAGGCAAAACGCTTTCATAGTAAAACAGCGTTAAATTTCAATCTCGTCTTGTTCTCGTAACATCAAATGACAAGAAGCCCATACGATAAGGATTTGCTGGGCTTACGACTTTCTCGGTTCAAGACTTTGATGTTAATACATTTGAGGCCAATATAGACTTTTTGTGGAAACCTACTAGTAGGCATCACCTTTACCACATCACCTTTTGAAGAATTTACAACAACGTTTACAAACAGTCTTTATTTCCTATTTAACATGCGTCAAAGCTAGCATATCATTCTTAATATTTGCGTTCGTATTCTTTCTTCCGAACATTACCAAATGCCATAAATGAATTAAGTATCCAACTAAAGCCTATTATTTGTCCAGCAAACTTATCATAACTTATTTTTTGCTCTTTTATAGCAACTACAATTTTCATGCTGATGGTTTTACACACTACAACCAGATTTCTTCGAATGGGCACCTGCCTCCAGGTTTAACCCACTCACTCCTAGGAAATGGAGCTACTCCAAGCACTGCATCCTCCACTTCTTCTGTCTCCTCCTGTTCCTCTTCTTGCTCTTCATCTTCTTCAGCATCTTCCTCCTCCTCCAACCTAGCCCCTGCCTCCGCCTCCATCGCCACCTCTGCTCCCGCCTCAGCAGCAACCACCACCTCTGTCGCTGTGTCCATCCCCTCTGCCTCCGCCCCTCCTGGCTCAACTGCAACAGCAGGATTACTCAGCCCCTGTCACTCCGGGACCGGTTTCCAGACGATATTCCCTTTATCACAAACCCAGATCCCGATATCAACCCAGTCAAAGGGAATGCTTCGAGATGCAGGTCCAATGAGCTCAGGACTTTCACTACTGCCATACTGTTTTACGGCAACACCAGAAGCACCACCAACAGTCTCTGGGCTTATAGGATCACAAGGCCTAACTTTGACTCAGCCACCCCATCAACTGTTTCCTCCTCCCTCACCGATTGCTCTAGCTGCCCCGATGCAACCCACCTCGGGGGGCGCAGCTCACCGAGGTGGGGTTGAGTGGATGCGAAAGTTGGCGTTTCGATATCGCCACATAAAAGACGTGTACAATGCATACAGGCGAGCTGCTTTATAAATCAGATTTTTCCCTCTGCTTCCTCCCAGCATTACTGAGCTGATAGCTTATCTATTTAGCCTTTTTTGTCACCTTTTATAATAATGAGATGTATTCACCTTATTTCGTGTAAGGTGATGAAGGACTGGTAGTAGAATTTTCCCACAATGA